CACACACACACACACACACACACACACACACACACACACACACACACACACACACACACACACACAATTCAAAAATTAGGAAAACAATAATGTGAATGTTGAATCAGAATTCACACAATTAGACATGATGTTTTTTACTTTTGCACTGTAATGTAGATCAACAACTTTAGTTATTTTGAATCATGTGTTTGCTATAATTAAGTCTCATTTAGTAACTACTTAGTTTGTATACGATGCTTGCACAAAAACAGTAACTACATCTATATTGTAGACGATGTAAACACAATAATATCAGGTCATGTCTTTAAGTAAATATTTGCCTAGGGCAACTTAATTACTTGTTTTTGAACAGCAAAGGTCGGAAGTGTAGCCACATTTTCCTGGAAACCAACCTGTAAATGTGGATATTTGTCGAACAATTCCGCCGTCGATCTTAGGCGGTCAAGTTCCTTACTCTGAATTAACAAAGGCATATCCTTAAGCGAAATGCACTTGTAAATCAGCTAGTTTTCATGCTATAAAACAACCAATAACTTCAGAACGTTCATCTATCCAGCTGTATGCTAWGCCAATTGAACTTCCGGTTGTTTTCTTCGTTTCACCGCATGACGCAGTGATATGGGAAATTACCGCCCCCTAGCGTTAGATTGTAMATATTTTGTGGCAATTTTTTTCTCAGTCTATTTTCTTGTTTACCAAAGCAAAAAGAAAAAAAAATCCAGAARAGCTCTTTAAATGCAACTATAATTTGTGTAAGGTTAAAGCTTACATTTTTCTTTAACATATTGATCTTATTTAGTAGAACCTAACGCTTACCACATTCACAATTGTTATTTAGTAAAATTACGTACGTAATGACGTCTTTTTAAAGATACGCRACGTAGACGCCGTAACGTCGTGGAGTCGGGAGGGAACGAGGTAGGTATTTGCTTTAGTTTCGTGACGCATGTAGCAATTACTCAAGAAACCTTTGTAAATACGTAGTTACCATTTAATTCACGTGTAGTGATACACAACAAATTTGTTGTGTCGTGCTTGCTTAAAATTACACTTCGTTTGATACGTTTTTAAAACAGAAGAGCCGCCAAGCTGTTGTGCTAACGCTAACGCTGCAGAGAAGACTGTTTTCATCGACATGAGAGGGGGTTCTTCATATGGAGACAGAGACAGAGATCGTGGACGAGACAGGTTAGTTTTTTTTTCTTTTTCTTTTCTTTTTTGCTCACAGAACACATAACCTAAAGAGTTTGATAATATTTGGACTTAACAGGAAGCGCGGACATGATTGTTTTGAGGTTGAGCTCTTGCTAACATAAACAAAACAAAAGCGCTTCACAGGCCCTTTTTTCCATTTAAAATTAGATTACACCAATGTCTATTATTAACTTTACTATGGGAATAGAAGTAACAATTGTATATAATAAAACTATATAATAAGAATTTTAATGGGTATAAGCATAAGAGAAACAACTCAGACAAGATAAACTAATATTTACTTTTATTGGAAATATTCTTAAGCAACATTGTAGATCAATGCAGTGTTTTAGTAGTTTGGATTGAACGTTTAATGACAGCGTTTCGATTCATGTTTTTCCTTTGTCTTACATTAGCTGTTCACATTTTTTATGTAAAATTCTGTCTGSTTCTAAAGCCTCTTTGACTTTGTTTTGTTTCTCTAATTCCACTTTACAGACTTAAAGTTCACCCTTACAAAGTGTCTTGTTATTCCTTCTGTGTCGAAACAACTATTTCCTATATATGAACTGTAGGTTTTTGTGTGCGTTTTAATCATTTTTATGACCCGTTCATAAAGAGAGAATGTATTTCTGTCAGTGAGCCCAAGGGCAGCTGTAGTTACATTGTAGCTTACCACCATCGGTTTGTGAATGAATGTGTATGGATGGGTAAARGACTGTAGTGTGAAGCTCTTTGGAGTCTGTAAAGACTTGATAAGGCGCTATACAAGTTCAGGTCATTTACCATAGAGTCGTCTTTATAAATTATATTCAGAACTTGATCCGTTAATTACAGAAAGCAGTGTACTGATGTACAAAGCTAACATGCTAAATCCTGAGTTATCCTTATCTCTCACTCTTTTTTTTTTCAGGCCACGATTTGGAGGGGGCATGGGTAGCCGTGGTGGACCCCCACCCATGAAGTTTGGTAATCCAGGTGAGCGCCTCCGCAAAAAGAGGTGGAACCTCGACGAGCTGCCTAAATTTGAGAAGAACTTCTATACCGAACATCCAGATGTCCAGCGAATGGGTCAGGTAAGTCTTTTACTGTCACATGCAGAGGATACATTAAAAAGCACAGAGGGTGTTTTGAATGAAAACACATCATGTTTTGTGTTCACGTTCTCTTTTGTTGCCYTGTCCAGTACGACATGGAGGAGTTCCGCAGGAAGAAGGAGATCACCATCAGAGGCTCAGGCTGTCCAAAGCCTGTGACTGCTTTTCATCAGGCACATTTTCCTCGTGAGTTAACTCATTTTACTGCATGTACACCTTTACTTAAAGACAAATGATTAGATTCAGTAAACTAAGTTGAACAACCACAGGCTTAGGATGTGATTGCATTTGGCTCCTATTTTTCCAAATAGTCTTAACGGTTTCAGATGGTTTCTCATATTGACCTTTGCTCTTCCATTATTTTTTTCTTTTCCTTACTTTGCCCAACAGAGTACGTGATGGATGTTATGATGCAGCAGAACTTCAAGGAGCCCACAGCAATCCAGTCCCAGGGTTTCCCTGTGGCTTTGAGTGGCAGGGACATGGTGGGAATTGCACAGACTGGCTCTGGGAAGACCCTGGCTGTAAGACAGTTTTTTAGAAGACTATTACAATTTAATCTWGAAGTAATATTTGGAGTGTGGGTTAAAGAAAATAAGAAAGGCTTGTGTTATTAGCAATAAGTGATTCCATGACATATTGAAGTATTTATAAATTGTATTATTTGGTTTTACTGTTATATGGTAGAGATTATTGTGTTTTGTTATCTCTCAGTACCTTCTTCCTGCTATTGTACACATCAACCACCAGCCYTATCTGGAGAGGGGAGATGGTCCTATAGTGAGTTTGAATTTCATACAACCTCAGAGTGAAGAGTTGTATCTATTTTGTGCACAATCCCAGTATATTATTCCTTTCTCATTCGRCGTCGTCTCTTTTACAGTGTCTGGTMCTTGCTCCAACCAGAGAGCTGGCCCAGCAGGTTCAACAAGTTGCTTATGACTACGGCAAGTCTTCCCGCATCAAAAGCACCTGCGTCTATGGTGGAGCGCCGAAAGGACCACAGATTCGGGATCTCGAAAGGGGTGGGTACAGACATTTCGGTAAACCAAAACGTATAGATCAGGGMTGTCCAGTGTGGCCCCTGACTTCTGTTCAATAATTATACCTGGCACAGGTGTTTGATGTGGAGACTTTCTATTTTTAATTAGGGCAAAATGATCACAGACAAAGTCAAATCTTCTTCCAATAAAAAATACTGGCAACAACGCCAATTATTTGTCTGTAAATAACCAGGCTCTTGGCTTTTTCTACATCTTTTATAACTTCTACTGAAAAGCTGATTTTGCTGCACTTCAATCTGCTTTTAATTAATTTATTACTGTAAATTGGTCTAAATACAGCAAGCATTTTCAACGAAAGGGTTACTTAAATCCTGATTTTATGGATCAGAATTGACTAAATTTGGTTCTTTTTTCCACAATTCATGGAAAATTGCAAAAAAAAAAGGAAATCTGCAAACCACTTTTAAAGTTGTAGATCCATCCATCTCCAGCAATAAATCTATTTGTTTAGTTAAAGTATTCAATGATTAGTTTATTGTTGAGCAGGTAAAGGAAACATTTTTTCTTCTGACTTTATGATTTTGGCCCATCTGACTAAATGTTTGGACACCCCTGGTGTAGATTTTCACAGTTGAGCCTCAGGATCTGCTGCCAGGTGTTTAATGTCCCTGGATGTGTGGCCACACAGTAACCGCAGATTTCCGTACACATAAAGCAAACAAATAACCGTGTCAGCATCGCGTGTGTCTCATTGTTTTTTACTCTGTGATCACGTGTAATTGAAGGTGTTGAGATCTGCATCGCCACACCTGGTCGCCTCATTGACTTCCTGGAGGCTGGGAAGACCAACCTGCGTCGCTGTACCTACCTGGTCCTGGATGAGGCTGACCGCATGTTGGACATGGGCTTTGAACCGCAGATTCGCAAAATAGTTGAACAGATCAGGGTAGGGTAGTGGCCCAGTGATTGTTTTATTTAGTATCTTTACATATTTCTTGTTTTTGAAGATAGCGAGTCTTCCTCTCCCTGTTAGCCTGACAGACAGACTCTCATGTGGAGCGCAACATGGCCGAAAGAGGTTCGTCAGCTCGCTGAGGACTTCCTGCGGGAATACATCCAGATTAATATTGGTGCTCTGGAGCTCAGTGCTAACCACAACATCCTGCAGATAGTCGACGTCTGCATGGAGACTGAAAAGGACAACAAGTAAGATTAACCAGTGGAAAATACTCTGCGTGACCTAAATCATATTATTTAATGAACTGGAATAGTTGTGGTGTTACACGGCTGAACTGAAGTGTCTCTCTGTGTTAGGCTCATTCAGCTGATGGAGGAGATCATGGCTGAGAAGGAGAACAAAACCATCATCTTTGTGGAAACCAAAAAGCGCTGCGATGATCTGACTCGCAGGATGAGACGTGACGGGTGAAAACTCACTGCCTATTCTTGCCTGATTATCGTCTCCATCTGCATAAAGAGTGGTGTGATTATGTGARGCAGTTCTCAGCGTGAACTAGTCTTCTTCAATCTGTTTAACAGGTGGCCAGCCATGTGCATTCATGGAGACAAGAGCCAACCAGAGAGAGACTGGGTGCTTACAGGTCAGAAAGCATCTTGTGGCCACATATTTCTGTCTGTATTCAGAGTGCATTAATTACAAAACTATTCAGCCAATTAAGACTTGAATACACTCTCAGTTTATTTTTTATTTTGTCTTTTATAGTGGTTTTATGCTGTTGTGTTGTTTTACTTTGAAATGTTAAACTTTTATGAATGCTTCAAATAAGAAGTAAGCAGCAACAGTTTATCTTTTAAACACATCCAAAATTAGTGTTTTTTCACCTTTTGCAGGTGCTTTATGAGTGGAAGTAGGGCTGCAGCTAACTATTATTTTAGTAATCGATTAATCTATCGATTACTCTGTCGATTAATTGAGTAATCGGATTTAAATAATTCCCATCTTCTGCAGTCATTACTTAAGCTTATTTTATGACAAATACAATTGTGAAGGGGCTGACAATCCTGCTAAAATCAAAGTAAAATTACTGAACCTGTTGTAATTAATTCATGCATTTTAAGCTCCACTTGTTTGTATTTATGCGTGTGAGGTTTGAGGAGGCGTTAATTAAAAGCACTCTCATTTTTAATCATCACTGAAAAACCTAAATTATGGTTATTCATTTTTATGGATTGGAAAACCGAATGAGATCTTTTATGTTAGAAATTTAGTAAGTAAAATGGGTAATATAAAAATCTGGGTGTTGCACATTGAGTTTTGTATAGTTCAAATGTTATTGTTAATAGTAAAAGTAAATTCATATTTTTAATAAGTTTTATTAAGTTCCAATTTTAGGCCAAAAAATATTCAGTCCTCCTGACTGGTTAGTTATATATGACAGCAGTAATAAATGAAGGCTAATGACAGGTTTCAAAGTCATAAAAAGCAGCAGCAAAAAGGAAACAAATCCTACTATTTTCCATCCATCCATCCATCCATCCATCCATTTTCTTCCGCCTATCCGGGGTCGGGTCGCGGGGGCAGCAGCTTCAGAAGGGAGGCCCAGACCTCCCTCTCCCCAGCCACTTCTTCCAGCTCCTCCGGGGGAACTCCAAGGCGTTCCCAGGCCAGCCGAGAGACATAGTCCCTCCAGCGTGTCCTGGGTCTTCCTCGGGGCCTCCTCCCGGTGGGACGTGCCCGGAATACCTCACCAGGGAGGCGTCCAGGAGGCATCCTTACCAGATGCCCAAGCCACCTCAACTGGCTCCTCTCGACGTGGAGGAGCAGCGGCTCTACTCTGAGTCCCTCCCGGATGACCGAGCTTCTCACCCTATCTCTAAGGGAGAGTCCAGCCACCCTGCGGAGGAAACTCATTTCGGCCGCTTGTATCCGGGACCTCGTTCTTTCGGTCATGACCCAAAGCTCATGACCATAGATGAGGGTAGGAACGTAGATCGACCGGTAAATCGAGAGCTTCGCTTTCTGACTCAGCTCTCTCTTCACCACGACGGACCGGTACAGCGCCCGCTTTACAGCAGACGCTGCGCCAATCCGCCTGTCGATCTCCCGCTCCGTTCTTCCCCCATTCGTGAACAAGATCCCCAGATACTTAAACTCCTCCACTTGAGACAGGGCGACCCCCCTGACCCGGAGAAGGCACTCTGCCCTTTTCCGGCTCAAGACCATGGCCTCGGATTTGGAGGCACTGAGCCTCATCCCGGCCGCTTCGCACTCGGCCGCGAACCGCTCCAGCGAGAGCTGCAGATCTCGTTCCGATGAAGCCAACAGGACCACATCATCCGCAAAAAGCAGAGATGCGATCCTAAGGCCACCAAAACGGATCCCCTCAACACCTCGGCTGCGCCTAGAAATTCTGTCCATGAAAGTAATGAACAGAATCMGTGACAAAGGGCAGCCTTGGCGGAGTCCAACTCTCACCGGAAACGAGCCCGACTTACTGCCGGCAATGCGAACCAGACTCTGACACCGGTCGTACAAGGACCTGACAGCCCGTAACAAAGGGCCCGGTACCCCATACTCCCGGAGAACCCCCCACAAGGCCCCCCTTGGGGGGCCTTGTGGGGGGTTCCTACTAAGGGGGGTTCCTACTAAGGGGGGTTCCTTGTGGGGGGTTCCTACTAAGACTTGTGGGGGGTTCCTACTATTTTCTGTAAATAAAATTTAAATTTGAAATGTTCACTCCAGATATCTCATTTAAGTTAAGATAGAAGCATCAACAGATAAATGTGTTTCATCTGTTGCTGCACACTAAGGCTTGTTTTGATCACAGAACTTCCACACTGTTAAATAACACTCTGTCAGGTAGTCTCTGGGAGTAGTCAGGAAGGGAATGTGAACGATACCTGTTGTTTACTCCGGACGCGTTTGCTACATGTATCAGCTGTTTTTGTTCTGGTGCAGAAACATCGAGGACGTGCAGTGCTTTGTCGTCTTTTCTGTTAAGTTTTAAATTATCCCACACTTTTCACAGTTTCTGTCGTTTTCTGAGCGCCTCGTTTTGGGACTCTTCATCCCTTTCCGTTGTTAAAAATAGCACTTAGCATACACGCATCAACAGTGTAACCACTAGCGGAAGTGCTAACGTCATAGCGTTGTGTAACTCAAGTAACATTCCAGCCAGCAAAGTGCGCTGATTTTAACACGACATTGTTACGAAGCTTCGAGGCAGATAATTTGCCCCAAGAATTAAACATAATCAAATTACTCGAATTATTCGAGGAATCATTTCAGCCCTAAGTGGAAGTTCTGCAGATTTTGGGGGTCGACTATGACTACTTTTTTCTGTTTCAAATTGCCTTTTTGGGGATAATGAAGTGATTTGAATTTTAATTTGCACTTATTAACCTGTTTGGAACTGCCCTGGAGAAACCTGTTTAAAAGCCTCTAGTCTCTGTCAGCTTTGATTTTATTTATTTTTTATGTTTTATTTAACTTTACAGAATTCAGAAGCGGCAAAGCTCCCATTCTGATTGCAACTGATGTTGCCTCTCGTGGTCTGGGTATGTCTCTGCACTCATGCTTTTTGCACTTTATAGTATATTTCATCATTATATTATATTTTGAAAAGTGTTTAATTTTTTTTAAATATCAATGTAATTATGCATGCTAGAGTAATATAACAATCAATATAACAAGTTGATGCATTTAAAATTAAACTTAACATTTTTTTTCTGGGACATTAATTCCAGTTGAAGAAAGCTTTTGAAGAGTTATTTTTTAGCTGTAATGTTAGTTTATTTCATGAAGTGGTTACTCTGTAAAGTCAAACTATGGGCCAGGTGTGTGAAGATACACAGAAGGTGCAATCAGAGTTCAACGATGAGCACTAAGTCTACGAGACTTTTGCATCCCGGTTGCAGATTTCGGACCCTCCGACCCACCAGGTTTCTAGTCTGTTTCTTGTTACCGCAGTTAAAAAGCTTCCTTCAAGCTGGGCTCTTTGGCACGCTGCCTGAAAGGAGGTGTGTGGGGCAGAACCTCCTGCGCAACTTTTTTTATGTCTCCTACATGGTGTCAGTACAAACTCACTGGTGTTGCTTATGTTGCCCGTTTTTAATTAGACAATTATGGGTTCATGTGTAAAAATAGTAAGTGGTGTCATGTCCTCGAAGGCATGGAGAAGAAATTTATGACTAATTTCACATCTGATCTGTTGGTAACAAATTGAGAAGGGGGGATAAGTAAAGTGTCTTAATTTGTTAAAATTTCTATGACTATATCCTTGTTCTCTTTTCCCCTCTTCTCCTCTCAGGGTTTGGCAGCACACGGCAGCTGTAACAGTCTGTGCTGCTGTCACTGCCCCCCTCAGTCATGTTAAAGTACAAGCTGTTAGTTTTGGAGGGATTAAAAGCCCCTCTTTTTCT